CCTAAGGACAAGATACAGATTAAAAATATTGTATTGAATGTAACATTTTCTATGTTCCACAATTATCATTTCAGATTCTTCTGAAACCAGTTTTATTGTCTTTCTTTGTTCAATTATTGCTTGTATTTTTTTCTTGTGTCAACCCTCAGCTTGCTTCTAATCATATTTTGCTTTTTGTCTATTTTTGGAACACCCTTCATGCCTTCATATACTGTATAGCTGCTACTTGACCCTCCTACATCTAGTATGGAATTGTAAACCTCAATTACTGGTTTTAAAAACAAAGCCAACTACATTTCCTTACTGTTTTGTAGGAAAATATGAAAAAAATGGATCTGATTTTAAAAAGGAAAAGGTTGAAAGCACAGGATGGTCATTCTTTCCACATTTCCCCTCAAATCTGCATCCATTCTTCTTACATTCCCATGCTAGAGAACCAAATGACTCTTCCTTTATCTGTAAACTCAGACTTCCTCTGGAGGATGAAAACAATTGCCAGGTGGTAACACAACTACTGCATCTCTTTTCTTTGGAAACTTTTTTTAATAACTTCCCTGTTTTACTATCAGTTCCCCATGTGGCCTTCAGTTTCTCCTTTTTGTCTGGAGACATTAAGAGCAACACATAAATGTCTCTAAAAAACACAGGCAAAAATGGTATTTGTAGAGCTGTGTGATATTAAGAATGTTTATTTGGAAAGCAGGATCCATTTAGCATCACTTCAGATTGGGTCATGTCTTCTCTTCCCCCCAATTTTTATACTTTTTCAGATAAGCACTTGAGCTACTAAAATTATTGCAGGTTACGAGGAAAGCAAGTAAGATTTAGGACTTCTAAACAGAAAGTGACTAACAAGACACAGGACCCAGACAAGTAAACCTTATGATTATTATTTGGAGGATAATGGTTATAAATGTGATCTCTATATGATGTCTATAATGTTTGATATTACCAATTGATTATAGAGAAAACTGAATAGAGGGTTTAACTAAATATTGCACATCATCACAAAGATGATGGCAAATAGGATCTAAGAACAATAGTCATAATTATTGTGTGTATAAGATTTATTATCTGAACTTAAAAAAGATTGTACCCAGATAGTACACTGTTATTGTAAATATAGAAATTTTATATACAACCCAAGAACATTGTGCAATTAATAATAATAATAATAATAATAATAATAATAATAATAATAATAATAATAATAATAATTCTGAATCTACAAAAAACCACCCTACTTGGAACAGCTTATATCCTCTGACATTACCTTAACAGTTCCTGGGTCCTTGGTTAGGACTCGACCTGTTGAGCTACCAACCAGCCCCAAAGGCTGTGAATCTCACCAAAGATGAACCACATAATAATAATAAAAGACACAGGGCCCATGTATATAAAATTATGCACAGTATGGAAAATGTGAAGAAAAAGAAGTATTTATCCCTAATGTGCATACTAACTCAGGACCATCTATTAAAAATGAAACGTGAGATGGTTAAAATGAAGTAATTCTGTACTCAGTGCTTAGTTAAACTGCATTTTGATACCATGAGAGTTGATGATGGCCAGTAATGTTGGTAATGTAGGTACAAACCCGACAGATTCATGGAGAAGTCCATTTGCATTGGTTATTAAGTCCATAATTGATTGACTATTAATTGCCATCAAGTTATTTTGATTCCTAGTGGCCACATAAACTTTATCCATAGCAATCTATCTTTAATCTGATCTGAGTCCATTCACTTTGTTTCTGGTTGTCCTTTCCCAGAGAACTGGGTCTTTCTATAATGTGTTCAAAGTAGGCCAAATAGCCGGGTCATTTGTGTTTTATGTAAAAACTGTTCTGCTTGAGTGTTTTGCACATGCATCTTTTTGGCATGAATGGTGGGGTGGTGCTTTTATTTGTATGCTAGTCAGCTAGGTGGTGACATGATAATTGGCATCTGAATTTCCATGATAACACTTTTCCTCAATTTAATATGTCAGTGAAGTGACTATTACTTTCTGACTCCTCTGTATTCTTTCCATTCTGGCAATCTCCCAATCTCAGTCTTTGGTTTTTGCTTTTGTATCACATAACAAATGCTTTAGCCATGATGTTGTGTCTTACAAGCTACTGTAAATGCATGCCCTGTCAACTAGGATAAGTTTCTTTATAGTACTCAAACAGCATTCAGGAGGATTCATTCATTCATTCATTCATTTATTCATTCATTTATAATATTTAGTTTATTCAAAGAAAATTAAAATTCAAAACACCAAAATACATAAAAACAAAAGAAATAAACAAGACATTAAAAAGAAAAGGTTTCTTTGAAAAAAAATATTAGCACATATAGACCTAGAAGCCTCCCTAGTTGAATGCTGATTTATATAATACAACAATGTTAGTTTCCTATCCCCTGCAAAACAGGCCAAAAGAATTTTAAATTCCCAACTAAAATACTAAATCTGTTTACAAATGGTTAGGCTGTCTTCTATATACTTAATTAATAACAATATAGTTAACGGGGAACACAATAATAATAAAAATATATAAAGGTATAAAAGTAATAAAAATTCTTATTAATAATAGAAGAGAGACAAGATTGAAATTCCAAAACCCTCTGTTAATGAACTGTTATTGAAATCAACTTGTAGAAAATTTACCATGGCTTCAATCCCAGATCATTCCCAAAATTAACTCGAATTGGTCCTGGAGCAAATGTCCATGTTTGTTTCTTAATGCCATCTCTTATCAGTTGCTGATTGATTAAATACCATAAGACCAATCTCAAAAACAATCTATCTTCCCCCCAAAAGCCAGATGAGATTGTTTCCCAATTAAATGTAGATGTTCATGCCCCACTCTCCTTCAAAACCTCTAAAAAGGACATATTTACCTCTTTCCACCTAGAGGGTTCTCTACTATTACATAAAAACATAGGATTAAACTTAAACTAAAAAATAAAAATTATACACAAGATAAAAGACATAAATAAAACCAAATACTGCAATTCAATTAAAAGATGGGGAGGGCACAGCAGGATGAGGGAGAGGTGGGATCTCTTGTTAATTTATCAACCACCCCTGCTGTGATGCTCCCCCATTGGAGTCCCAAGCTAACTGGCACATCTACCGGTAAGTCTTCTGGGAATATCAGGAGGCTTGAAACCAACCTCCCTCCATGGGGGGGGGGGGGGGGCAAGATGTTCTGACAGAAAAGGCTCCTCTCCTGGATCCCTCCATGTTCCCATTTTATGTCCAAACTTGCTTAGCTTTAGTGGCAAGAGACTCCAGGTGCATGTGACTGGCTCTCATAAATTATCTCCCACACCACTAATATCATCAAGACAAAGGGAAATAATCAGACTAGTCTCATCCCTCGGTCAAAGTTGAAACAATTTATAGGAGCATTAGAGCTAAGGGCCAGAACAATCAGAAAGGGGGACAAGAGCCTAGCAGCTGCTATTCAAACAGAAAGCGTCGTTATGACCTGAACAGTATAAAATGTTGGCTTTGTTCTCAATTTCTCTGACCTTCCTCTTCATTTTCCTCCCTTCCCTTTTTTGCTTGTATACTTACCAGTAGTCATGGGATCTAATCTTTCCCTCCCCACCATTACCACACTATGATATCCTTATAAAGTTTATATGTATGTAGACTTCTTTTCATTTTGTCTCCTGCCTCTAATTTATTTTACCGATTGCAGGACTTCTTTCTCTTTTTCGGCACTGAGCCCAACATTGTGCACCTTGAAAGGGAATAGAATAGATGGGGAAGCTGGGATGCAAGAGTTCTTTTGTGAGAATATAATAGGAAGTCCTACAGATCGATGTGGGGCGAAAAAAGCTCTGGGTCTTCAATTGTTTTAGTCTCATGAGCAAACTTGGATTTAAATTAGAAGGAATCAGATTCCTTACTGAGAATGTTTCCAATATTACACTTGAATAAATTTTGCAAATGTCATAGGGGAACTACAGCACTTGACCTTTGTAAATTCCAGTTGACCTTTTGTTAGCAAACCAGAGACAAGAAAAAGAGTTGTGCATGTGGAAAGATGGAAGTGGGTATGAAACTTAATAATAGAGAATATGTGCAATACCCCAAAGTCTCTACTCACATGAAAAAGATATAATGTTTTAAATCCAATAAAGTCCCTGTCACTGAGAATGAACAATATTAGATAAGGGTCTTAAATGTTCACCACTAAATAGAAGGGGAATGTAGATCTCTCCAGAATTGAATTAGCCCTACAGGCCAATGGTTAAGTGGGATTCAAGGAATGGCAACCCAGTCACTTCTACAAAGTATCCGATTCCATCTCTTGAAAGAGATGGACAAAAGGGATTACTCATGGCTCACTTCTCCATAGGCTTTTCTAAATGGTATATGTTGCTCACTGGGTGAATTCCCCAATAGCAAAGTAGAGGGAAATAGAATCATTGAAGGACAGAGTTGGAAGGGACCTTGGAGGTCATCTAGTCCGACTCCCTGCTCAAACAGGGAGACCTTATACAATTTGAGCCAAATGGTTGTCGAATCTTCACTAAAAAACCTCCAGTGACAAAGCAGTGAGGAGTCCTTGGGATTTCATTAGCAGCAGTCCAGCAATGCCCAGATACAGGATGTGCATGATCCCATTTAGTGCAGCCCATGGATGTCAAACCATTCAAAATGGCTGCCACGGCCCCATGTGGAAAGTAGTGACCAAAAGCATGAAGATCTAAAAGAGCCCTTCTTGAGCTCCCTTTCCTTTAAAAATCAGAACTATTTTGTCCCGATATGAGACTGAAAAGACAATGTCTGCCATTGTCTCCTGTGGGCAGAGTCATGTGAGAGTAACTTCCATGTCAGGTAATCCTCGCAAGGCAGGAAGTTAAGTTCCTCAACTGAGGTTAATCTTAAACTGAAAACAGAGAAGTGAATGGTGTGCAAGAGAAGCTGGAAGTCTGTTGCTTAATTTGCATAGTGGTCACAAAGGAGCATACTTATAAATTCTACTTTTTTTGGCAGTGTGAGTGCTAATGAGAGAGAAGTTCATCACACTGCATTAGCTTTTGGCAAAGCTTAAAAGATGCTGCGTTTTTTTCTTTTCCTGCTCTTTTTTGGCCAGGTTGTTCAGGGCCTAAGAATCTGCTCTTTCAACGTGAGATCATTTGGAGAATCTAAGAGAAAAAACCCAGAAATCATAGAAGTTATTATAGAGGTATGTAATTCACTCTTGGGGTTAAATTAAATTAAACAATGGGGCTTTCAATTGAATAATTATATATTAACACAGAGATTAATGTCTATTTGAGCATTAATAAATCTGTGAGTTTAGCAACAAACGTACCTCAGAAAGTCATCAGCAGATCAAAACTATATGGATAGCAAGATTTTAATTGCAAATGCTGTTGTTAATATGTAAGATTATGAAAATATTTGATTTCTTAGGGGAAAAAATCATTTTTTCCAATGTCTCCTTGGCTATTGCCACTTTCAGTTAGTTTAATTGCCACTATAAAATACAATACAATACAATACAATAGCAGAGTTGGAAGGGACCTTGGAGGTCTTCTAGTCCAACCCCCTGCCTAGGCAGGAAACCC